CCCTGAGGGCCCGGGGACGCAGGACCTGCCGGTGGACAGCTTCAGCCAGAACAGCGGTAGCGTCTACGAGGACCAGCGACAAAAAAATACCTCTCAGACTGCTTTGGGGACCCCGGTGCCCACCGCTGTGCAGGGGGAGCCTCCCAAACCCCCCGGCAAGAAGCACCCGTTGTGGCACCAAAAGCCCAAGAAGGTGAAGGAGCAGGAGGAGAAGGGTGAGAGCACAGCGCAGGACGCTCTGAGCGCCAGCAAGGAGGAGAAGGGCCTTAGAAAAGAAGAAACTGCCAAGCTGGGAGAGTCCTCCTGTTCCAACTCAGGTGAAGGTATGACTGTGACGCTTTTCCCAAATCCTCTGTGGGTAACCCTGGTGGAAAGGCACCAGTAAAACCAGAAACCTGAATGGTCTATTTTTTTCACTTGCTGTATGTTAGTTACAGAATTGTAGAATCATAGAATTTTCCAGGTTGGAATAGACCCTTAAGATCAAGGAGTCCAACCATCAACCCAACACTGACAAACCCACCACTGACCCATGTCCCTCAGCACCACGTCTGCCCGGCTTTGAAATCCCTCCAGGGATGGTGACTCCACCACTGCACTGGGCAGCCTCTTCCAAGGCCTCACAACCCTTTCGGGGAAGAAATTTTTCCCAATCTCCACCCTAAACCTCCCCTGGTGCAACTTGAGGCCGTTTCCTCTTGTCCCATCACCCGTTCCTTGGGAGATCTACAACCTGCCCTACAGTATGTGGTGGTAGAAGCGAGATAAAAAGGTGGAAGAGTGGAGATCATAGCAACCAGTTTACTCCCTTTTCTGGTAGTCCCATCCCAGAAAGCAGCTCTCTGCAGAAGAGCACATTTCCAGCGCTTCCTGGCTGGGCTTCCAGGCAATCTTGCCATTATCCCTGCTTCTATGGTCATGAAAAACCATGTATTTTTTTTTTTCTGCCATTGCAGCACATTGTAACTGCTAGTGGGTAAAAAAAAAAAGGAACAAAACCAGCCAAACAGAAAAAAAATCAACCCCAAAACCAGAAGCTGGACTTGTTCAGATTCACTTTCAAGAATTCTCACTCTGTAGTACAGAAATCACTAGAAGAAATAAATCCTAAATGGATTGCTGTTGGGCAGAAACTGGTTACAGGAAGGAGCTCAGTATTAGAAAAATACAAGGAATGGATTTTTCTATTTTGTTCCTTCATTTCTAGTAAACTGACAGTTGGCAGAAACCTACTCCACTCTTTCCAACAGCAGGTTTTAGGCTCTGCACACTGAAAATAAAAACCTGCTGTTGCGTGTAGTTATTCCATACTAGTTTGCTGAAATGTATAGACCAGACATAAATATATTTCTTCTTGTATCACAATGCAAGGTTAGTCGATTTCAGCCTTTCTGAGGAAAGTCATAAACTAGACACCAAATTATGTTGGCTTTATAGAGTTTTGAGCTGTGCTGTGTGCTCCCCTCCCTCCTGCAGAACTCGGGACTTCCAAAGGTGTAGAAATGCACACCCTTAAAATGGCATTGAAAAGCTCAACAGAAGTGCACAAAAAATACTTTGTCTTAACACGCATACACACAAAATAGGGCAGAGTGCGGTCCCTTTGTTAAATCTTCCTGGTGTCTGATTTTGGAGGTTTGACTCTCAAACTGGATGTCAGGTTCAGCCCTTTCCCATCGCACCCCATACATAAGGATGCTCCCAGGTGGTGGTTTCACACCGACCCCCTGCGTGGCTGGGGATTGCTGTGAACATATTTGTGCTTGACTCTATAAACATGTGAGTGTCTTTCTCCAGAAGCCAGTAACAAAATTCTGGGGAGGAAAATCCTGTGCTGCATTTTAAGTCGGTGCTTACGCTGAAGCCTTGGCATGGACCGAGCCGTGCACTGCAATTTTTGGAAATTAAATGCTTGCAGCAAAACTGTTCACCTAAGTTGTATTTCACATACAGTGACTATTAATGTTACTGTTTGCATTCCTCACAAATTTCATTCCCACTTTTACACTTCTTTTCATACTCCTCCTGTACTGTGTAATAATTTTAATATTAAAGGCAAAATAATTGAGTAGAACATCCCACGATAGCTCTTATCTCTCCCCGTGATTTAAGGCTCAGATACAGCTTAGAGATTGGGAAGAGTGACTGAGCTGTAGCAGAAACACTGTGTTTAAACAGTGGCAGTGTAAGATAATAATGAATATAAAGGAGGGTGTGTTTTTTAAGGTTGCCACAAAACCCCAAACCAAGATACTGAGCGTTCCTTCCTGTTCCAGCTAACATTTCCTTATGGCAGCTATTTTTCTTATTTATCAAAAAGATAGGGGGCTCCTGAAAATCCCTTTAAAAAGAGGGATTAGAGATTAAGTGTCCTGTGCTTTCATAGGGCCATTTAAAAGAGCAAAAGAGCAATTTACAAGTGCAAATAACTTTCAAACACGGTACTGTCACGTTAATGAGCAGCAGGTCTTTGTTGCAGGGTATTGAAGCCTGAATGCCAGTAACCCCTGTACAATGCTGTTGACTCTCCTGCTTGGAAGGGTCCTGAAATTAAATCTAACTTGGGGTGTCCGTAACTGGCAGGGAAGGAAGGATAAAAACACGGGAGGAAAAGAAATTCAGCTTTTTACTCTATTTCTCACCGGAACCAGGTTGTTGTTGTGTGTGTGTGTATATATACGTAGATATATATCAAGCTGTCTTCATTGTGCAGCCTCATCTGTCGCTGCCCAGCCTGAATTGCTCTGCAGATCCCACGTCGTGTCTCCAGAGCAGAAAAGCTGACCCTGGGTCAATATTTCACCGGTGCAGAACCTGGAGAATAAAGTAGCCGTGCCCTCTTTAATCCCCGGTGCTGCCTGCTGTGGAGGAGGTCGTGTGGGCCCTATTACTAACTTAAAAAGCTTATTCCAAGTCATTTACTGTGAGGATAAAACTCTAAAGGATTTTTTTTTTTCAAGCCTGTCGGGTCGGTATTGTTTGGCTGTATTAAAAATCTGTTTATCGCAAGTGTCAAAATTCTGCTTTTCTGTAGGAGCTAAGGAAACTTTCACTGCCTCCACGGAGTCTCATTCATCAACAAGTGAACAACCAGACTACTTCCAGTGAGTAAAATAACGTTTAAGTCACTTGATAGTTATTGAAGCAGTTGAAAAATCATCTATAAAAACCTCTCACTTAGCTACAAAATTCATCAAAATGTAATTTTAGAATGGTGATAAGTTCCTTTAGGTCACCCAGCTGCCTTATTCAAAGTACCTGCCAGTTTTGAAGTCTGAGGTTGTCCCTTAATTATTGCAGGGAAAAAAAAGTGTTAAAAGGAAATTTTAATATGCTTTAGAAGCAGACTTAAAACAGTTTCATTTCATTCTTCCTCAAGAACACAATGAAAAAGGATTATGAACGTGTGCTGGTTTTTGGTTTTTTTAGAGGTGAGACAACACGGGAGGAAAGCTGAATGCTAAAATGCTGAATACATAAATTTGATCATCTTTCCTGTGTTTTCACCGCTGAGTGCATCTGAGCTGGGAAGGTGGGGAGGGAAGGCAGCAGACCTTAGAGTCCAGCATTGCAAAGCCTGTGTGTGAGCCAACTGGAGTTAACCATCAAAGTCATTTCTAAAGCTTTGATGTAAAATGTAGCTTTGATGTAGCTTTCACTAACTTGAAGCTACAGCAAAATACCCAATTTCACCATGGAATTGCAGACCAAAGACCTCAATTCACATTTTAAATTTTAGCTGCCTAATTTTGACTACAAAACAAGATAAAAATGCTTTACATTTGTGTGTGAAGTGTGACATGTCTACAATAACTGGCATCTGGCAGTCTATGAAATTATGGAAAGAATTCCCACTAAGTTTAATTGTAGCCCCTCAACAAGTTGTCAAACATCATACTAACATTCCCAAAAGTTAAAAAATAACCTTCTATATGAAAAAGGTTTTTCATCCATGACAAGTATTAAAGAACTTGCTTTAAAATGAAATAGCTCTACTGACAGAATCATTTGGTCGCCTAAATGCTTTTTTAGAATACTAAAACTTTTCTCAGGAGGATTTTTCTTTACTGCTGTAAAACAGAGAAATACCTTCTGCAAACAAACCTTTATGAAACCTTGCAAAAAAAAAAAAAAAAGCCTTCATGCAAGATTTCATGACGGTTGGTCTAGTTCTGATAGGGGTGTAATAAACACTGTGATGAAGACTCCTCTGTGAAAGGCACGATCTCTGAACAATCTGGCAGACAATCCACTGGCCGTGGTGTCCTGGAAAAGTGGGTCGTGCTGTTTCAGACGTCTGCCTGATCAGTGCAGAAAGACTAAAACTGGAGCAATTTGGTCCCGTTTAAAGGACTTCTTGTATTTTTTTCCAGCTTCTCTTCCTGTCTGCAAGTGCTGCATAATTCATGAGTATAATCCCGGTTTTAGCATAAAGACACTTTCCATCTTAATGTAAAGATTATGAGAGTAAAGGAACTCAAGCTTTTTAAGCAAAGTTTAGGCAAAAACTAGGAAAACAGAACAGATTCCCCTTTTTGCCACTTCTACTCTTATTTCTTCCCTCTCCACACATTTTCATTGGAAGTGCTTTGCTGGGCTCTTGTCCTGTGGGGTGTCAATCACTGCAGAGGTGTCTTCCAACATGTTGAAGGGCGTCCCTAGTTTTCCCCCCCGTTGCTCTAATTGGGCACATCTGGCCTGGGATCCATCACTGACAGCGGTCGTTGCCTGTGTTAGTGCAGACTTTGAACCTGTTAAATTTTTGCTGCCAGTTAAGATGAATCCAAGGGTGATTTGTAGGATTCTTCCCCATGTAGGGGTGCTGGCATCATCCAAAGGAGCGAGGTCTCCAGGCTGGGAGGACCAGAAGTGTTGGTGTGTGGTGGTCATGGGAAGTTATCTTTGTTACTCGCATTGACACTTCATCTTGGATTTGTGTAATGAGCTCATTAAATGCACACATGCTGATTTGAGGGAGAAGGGGATGAAGAGTTTCAACGCATCAGTGGCTTTAAGCATTTATGGGGTTTTTACTCTCCTTAGGAGGTGATGTGGTGTGGTGGGTTTTTGTTTCTGACTTCTCTGCAGTTTGTTTTTCTGCTTTATTGCAAGTCCCTTGGTCAGGTGGGCAGCAACGGAACTGGTGTACGCTAAAATGACCAAATTTTCTCATTATGCTTTGCTGTTGGATAGGCAGATCCAATTGGATCCAACTCCAAAAGTGCAGTCCCTTCCAAAAATGTAACGAAAACAAATTTTCAAAAGTGAATACAACTTAATTAATCTGTCCCTTTGTAGAAAGAGGTTATAATCCAGCAGTTTCTCTTCTCTCATTGAAGCTGATGTATTTATTGATCCTTTCATATTTGAATGATTTGGTCCTTCTGTGTTTGAATGATTGCTAGTGTTTTCTAAGTATGCTACACTTTTCTTTTGGTACAGCTTCTGAATAAAAGCTCTAAAAGGTAAAATATTAGCAAATAGATGCCACAAAGATATAGTAGATTTCTGTAATTACCTAAATACATCCTTTTGGAGCACACATGCTTACAGGTCACATAGCTAACTGACCTAAAGCTCGGCTGCCTGTGCTTGATATTTGCCATGTCCTCGGTGTAAAATGGCGTGTTTTTTCCCCAGAAAATACATAGCTATCGTCTCGTATGAGCAGCGCCAGAGCTACGAGGATGACTTCGACGCGGAGTACGACGAGTACAGGCACTTGCACGCGCGGATGGACTGCATCACCAGGAGGTTCATCAAGCTCGACATGGAGCGGAAGCTCGTTTCTCCAGGGTCCAAGGAGTATCAGGTAAAGAAGGATAAAACCACGAAGACTGTGTTTCATCTTTCTGTTGTCCCATCCCAAAGTCCACGTTTTTTGGCTGGGGCTTTGCTGACAGCCTCAGCGTCCTGGTGAGGGGAGGGGTTGCTGCTACACAGATGGGGGAGAAAATGCAGAGAGCGTGGAAACCAGCAGCCAAAATCCCAGAGCTTTCCTGACCCTCTCTCTCCCGTGATTTTATACACTAGAGTAAACCTACAGCCACAACTTACTCATCTTCCAGATGGCTACGATTTTGGCAGGGAATAGTGTTAAAAACCTGATATTCAGGCTTTCCAGTCTAGACCTCTCTGATTCAGACATACAAATTCCCTGCGTTCAGTATCAGAATTCTGTAATTCCATGTGCATGTGGAGGATTTCTGGTTGGCTTTTATTTAGTTTTTTGGCAGATTGCAAACGCGTTTGTGAGCAGCAGGAGGAGTACTTTGAAATCCCTGGCACTGCTCAACCCGACAAAGGGAAAAAAATTGCAGAATTTGCATCCTTGCTCAGACCCTGCCTGGGCTGGCTCTGATTTTTTGACAAAACCCTGCAAAAAGTTGTTCGTCCCTCAAACTCCACTTGTTTTTGCTGCCTGTGAACGCAGAGCAGTGTGAGAGACTCCTCAAAGGGTCTCTTCAAACACATGCTCCTTTTGCTGCCTGTTTGCAGCTTTAATTGCAGATCTGGGGTGATGGAGGGGGCTGGGGGTTATTTTTGCAACGCAGGAGAGTGGTGGCTGAGGGGTAAGAAAATACCATGAGTAAAACGGGGTGCTTTATTTTTAGTGTTGTATATAAATGTGCATTTTCTGGTAGTAGTGAAATGTTCTTCACATCATCTTCATGGTTTTTTTTTTTTTCTTGCAGATGCTTCAGGAGGAAATAGTAGAGGAGTACCAAAAGCTAAAGCAGGTACGTGTAGCACCAGCTTTGTGGGAGGCAGCGATGGCCGAGGCTGCCTCGGGCTGTTTTGGAAGCAAAAGTCGTGGAAATAGTAAACTCTGCAGAAATGTTTTCATCCCCAAATTTTCTTTCTTTTTTTTTTTTTTTCCCCCCTTATCTTTACAGTCTAGCCCAAACTACTACGAGGAGAAGTACAGGTGTGAGTACCTCCACAACAAGCTGTCTCATATTAAGAGACTCATCGAGGAGTTCGACCAACGGCAAGCAGAGTCGTCGCACTAGCCTTCTGCTGCGACCAGCACGTGTGAATGGACTGAAGCTTATTTATTTAAAAGTCAAAGTTAGTTACTCTAAGATTCTAAAAGTCAGTATCAAACTTTTGCATTACGGAAGTTTCAGTATTAGCAAGCCTAAGTTAAACTACTTTTGTTATTGTTGATGTTGCTTATATGCATTTTTTGAAGCTGCTTTTTCTGGTCCCTTCTTTTCTTCAAGGCTTGTGTTTCTCCATTGAAATAATTTTACCGGTAGGTGCTGGGGACCCAGCACCTCCACTATGGAGTTGTGCACATTTTAAGAAAATATTGTAGCAAATTCAAATGTTTGGGGATAAACATAAGTCTGTTTTCTGACCTTTCTTGTTAATGCAAACTCTTTGCCTTAAGTGGTAGAAAGTTTAGAAATTTGCACAAAACTTTAAAAAAAAAAAAAACAACAAAAACAACAACCAAACGACGCAACAACAAATGACATTGTTTTGGAGGGTTGAAGAGGCAAGTGTACGTGCTGCGTACGGCGCGACAGCAGAGACTCACCCCTGCGACTCAGACCCCCCATTGCAGTGGTTGCCTTAAGGTGTTTGTGTGTGTGTGTGTGTGTGTGTGTGTGTGTGTGTCTGTGCGTGTGTTACACTCAGTGTGGTTAAATTATTAGCTGCACTGCTTCCCCCCTGGGAAGCACCACGTGGCCTGCCCCTGTCCGGGCGCGTGTGCGTGTGCCCTCTGCGAGCGTGTGCGAGAGCGCCTGGCTGTCAGCGTGCCTGATGGGGAAAAAACTTTAAAAAAAATAAAAAAAAATTTAAAAAATTAAAAAGCTGCTACTCTAAGTAGGCCCAAATGCTCAGGTTAAAACAACTGACGAGTGTTGCTGTAGGTTTATTCCTGCAGAAAATTGCTGTTTCTGTTGTGGAAGGTGAGAGCGTTTCCATTTCAATAAGTTTTGTCAGCTTTAATAATATTGGGGAAATTGATACTTTACAAAAAATTAAGCAGATATATAGTTTTGGGGCAAGATTATAAGGTTAAACATGTAGGTTATCTATTTATATACTGCTATAAAGTATTTTTTGAAGAGAGATATGCAAAGAAGCTATTGCCTACATGTAATATATATTTAAAGATTTTTTTGTCCTGGGTGCCAGGAATATAACAAAGAACAGATGTATTTAACTATAAAATACTGTGATCACCAAACAGCACAAACTTTCATTTCATGCATTTCTTTTTTTTCTTTTTTTCTTTTTTTTTTTTTTTTTGGTTTATTCTGAGGTAAACCATTGCTACTTTATCATGTGAAAACACAGGTTATTTGGTCAAAACTGAGCAAAATCTTTGTGTGTCTTACTGTGTGTGTGTCTTTTCAAAATGCTGCCAATTGAAAAGGGAAGCATTATGTTTACAAGTCAGATCTTTGCAACTTTTGCCAAAATTGTGGTGGTGTTGCTAATAGACTTTATCTCCGGCATCCGAGGAAAAAAAAAACAACAAAAACCAAACCAAAACTGTTGTGTATCACTGTAAACCACAAAATGTTCGATTGCCAGAAAACGTGAGTTCAGGTAAAATGGTAGCATTTGAATTCTTGCCTTAAACTTGGTTTTTTCGCAGACGTTTGCGTTCCGTGGGGATGGGATGGCTGTCCAGGTGCGTCCCTTTCCGCTGGGAATTCCACAGCGGAATTTGTGTTAATTACTGGGGATTGGTGCCCTCGTTTTCGACTCCGCATTTCAAATGGCAAGACGAAGAGAAGACTCTTCGCTCTTCCCCCCGGGAGCTGCCTCCTCCTGGGTTTTCAGGCCCCAGCCCTGAGCACATGGTCAGAGACAAAGCAGCTTTCCAGGCTACAATAATGTGAATTTCCTGATGCTGGGGGCCTGTTTTTGGCAGTTTTTCTGGACAGTTCCTGTGTCCAACACACACTGCCGTTGAGGGACGCTGTGTTGGGGTGGCTCCTGGTGCCATCTCTGCGTGACGGGGACCCGCTGTGATTAATTGATTATTTTTTTTCCCCCGGCCTGGCCTCGACTATCGGTGTCCCCGGTGTCCGTGTGGTGGCCGGAGCTTCGCGCCGCACCAGAGGTCCATCCTGTCACCCTCAGACCTGGCGAGCTGCAGAAAAAGCCTTAATTGGAGGTTTTTCCCCACTCTCATTGAGCATTTCTGGAGCCCTCGCAGGGTGACAACCAGCAGCCCAGGTGTGGCACAACAGTGCTGTAAATCAACTTATCTCTTGATTTTCCCTGCTGTTGATGTTCCTGTTCAGCAAATGCTGTGAGAGCCCGTTGAAGTGGAGCCTCTGACTGTATTTTTTTTTTTATTTTTTTTTTTTATTTTTGGCCTTTCCTGTAAAACTGGCCAGCTCGCTCAGCAAAAAATCAACAACAACAAAAAAACCAAACCAGACCGTTGCGCGTGGCGGCGTCTGGGCTGGGATTTACACTACTGCAGACCCAAAGCAAGTGACTGATGTAGGGAAGGGACAGCTGCTCGAGTCTCCTTCATGGAAACTGTGAATCTCACTACACTTTGTTAAAAAAAATAAATACGTCATCGAAAGGGAGGCAATAAGCCCTTTTCTAGTGGGCTGAAAAAAAAACCAACGTAGGTTAGAAGGACAGGTTTCCAGTCTGGCTGGGGTTTGAGGGAGAAAAACTGTGCCCAAAGTAATTATTTTGGGGTGTTTTTTTGTTTTTAAAATCATAGATGTGTACTCTAAAGTGTCACTTGAAGCAGCTGGCTTGACTGCTTTTAATTCTTCAGGTCACCTTCTCTGTCGTCAAAAATAAATAATTAATAACTATAGTTAAAAAAAAAAAAAAAAAAAAAGTAGTACTCAAATCTTTCGGAACTGTTCTGTCAAACGCGTAGACAAGTCTTGGGAGCAAGTTCCTTCTGCAGGTTTTAAACAGAAATCGGGTTAAAGTGTTGATATTGTAACTTTTCTTATTTGTTAGCCTTTTTAAAATAGTGGTGTTACGACCAGTCTTTCTAGATACGTAAATGTTATTTCCTGCAAAGAATTATGGCTGTTTCGGAGTATCGTTCCTTTCATAAGTACACTAAGGTTTGTTCCTGTGCCTGACGGGGGAGGGACGTGGCGATTCCCAGGCCTTCTGGGGAGGATTTGATCAAGGGAACGGCAATATTTGTGAAGGTGGAGGCTTAAAATCAGGGCTGTGACTCCCCCCTTTTCTGACTGTGAGAGTATTTTGCAACTTTTTTCAACTGTTTCCACTCGAACTGTGTTATGACTCTGTACGTGAAACATCCCGGGGGGCGCTTCGTGAACCAACGCTCGAGCCATCGTTGCCCCTCTGTTCTACATCAATTCCAGTTCAATAAAACTTGACTTTCCAATCCTGAGAGCTTTGGGTTTTCCTTGTCCTGGGGTGGGGGTAGAAAGGGGATCCTCCTCCATCTCTGAGTGTTGATTTACCACGGAGGGGACATATCAGTGGGACATCATAGAATCACAGGATGGTTTGGGTTGGAAGGGACCTTAAAGCCCCCCCAGTGCCCCCCCCTGCCCTGGGCAGGGACACCTCCCACCACACCAGGGTGCTCCAAGCCCCCTCCAACCTGCCCTTGAACCCCTCCAGGGATGGGGCAGCCACAGCTTCTCGGGGCAACCTGGGCCAGGCTCTCACCACCCTCACACCAAACAAGTTCTTCCCCACAGCTCAGCTCCATCTCCCCTCTTGCAGGGTCAAACCCTTCCCCCTCCTCCTAGGGCTCCCCTCCCTCATCCAGAGTCCCTCCCCAGCTTTCCTGGAGCCCCTTTAGGTATCACCTAAAGGTACATCTCCTCACCATAACCTCCTGCAGCTGATTTTGAAGCAGGTGGCAGCGCTGCTGGCAGGGCTGGGTGGCAAAGACCAGAGAACGGGGGTGGGGGTGACTTGTTCCACCCTCTCTGAGCATGCACTAAAAGCAAACCTTCTGTAGCCATTTTCCCTGCAGGTTGTCCTCTCCTTCTGCCCGCTCTCCTTCTTTTGACCTCAAGTTTAATGTCCTGCTCCTTCCCACACCAGCAGATGTGCTGTCTTCCTTGGCTTCTCTGCTGGGGCCAATTTCTAGCCAAAAAGAGCAAAATGCAAAGGCTCTGCAGAGGATCTGGCCAGGCTGGGTGGATGTGCCCAGGCCAGTGGTGTGAGGGTCACCAAGGCCAAGTGCCAGGTCCTACCCTTGAGTCACACCAAGCTCCAGGCTGGGGATAGAGTGGCTGGAGCTGCCCAAGAAAAAGACCTGGTGGTGTTGGTCAAGAAGGGTTGAATATGAGCCAGCAGTGTGCCCAGGTCGCCAAGAGCATCCTGGCTTGTGTCACGAACAGCACAGCCAGCAGGACTGGGTCAGTGACCATCCCCCTCTCCTGGGATCTGGTGAGGCTCCACCTTGACTGCTGTGGCCACTATTGGGCCCCTCACAACAGGAGGGACCTTGAGGGGCTGGAGTGGGTCCAGAGAAGGTCAACGGAGCTGGTGAGGGGTCTGGAGCACAAGTCTTATGAGGAGAGGCTGAGGGAGCTGGGGGTGTTGAGCCTGGAGGAAAGGAGCCTGAGGGGAGACCTTCTCGCTCTCTCCAACTCCCTGAAAGGAGGGGGTAGAGAGATGGGGGTCGGTCTCTTCTCCCAAGGAAGAGGCGATGGGACAAGAGGAAATGGCCTCAAGTTGCTCTGAGGAAGGTCTGTCCTCCCAATGCTCTCCTCAACCCCTTCTTACACCAGCCACCTATCACCCAAACCGTTCTTAAGGGAAGTATTCTTGGTTTCAGGTTTGGGTTTGGTTTTTTTCTGGACAGGGGTGTGTGTCCTTCCTTTTTCCTTCCACCCCACTCCCACTGCAAATCAACAAACTGTGCTAGAAATATTAAAAGAGAAACACCATCTCCTTGCCTTTTGCAAGTGTTTTATTCCAGGTGTTGCTCACAGAAACTTTAAAATCACAGAATCACGCAGAATCACACAGGGTTGGAAGGGACCTCTGGAGATCATCCAGGCCAACCCCCCACCAGAGCAGGGTCAGCCAGAACTTGTCCAGGTGGGGTTTGAATGTCTCCAGAGGAGACTCCACCACCTCCCTGGGCAGCCTCTGCCAGGGCTCTGCCACCCTCACAGGAAAGAAGTTCCTCCTTGTGTTTTGGTAGAACTTCTTACATTCAAGTTTGTGCTCATTCCCTCTTGTCCTGTCCCTGGGCACCACTGAAAAAAGACTGACCCCATCCTCCTGACACCCACCCTTTAGGTGTTTATAGACATTGATCAGATCCCCCCTCAGCCTTCTCCAGACTAAAAAGCCCCAAGTCCCTCAGCCTTTCCTCAGCAGAGAGATGCTCCAGGCCCCTCAGCATCTCTGTGGTCCTCTGCTGTATCCTCTCCAGCAGTTCCCTCTCCTTCTGGAACTGGGGAGCCCAGAACTGGTCCCAGTCCTCCAGCTGGGGCCTCCCCAGGGCAGAGCAGAGCAGAGGGGCAGGATGACCTCCCTCCACCTGCTGGCCACACTCTTCTTGATGCCCCTCAGGATGCCATTGGCCTTCTTGGCTACAAGGGCCCATTGCTGACTCATGGGCATCCTGTTGTTCACCAGGACCCCCGGGGTCTTTCTCCTCAGAGCTGCTTTCCAGTAGGTCAGCCCCAGGTGTCCTGGTCCAGGGGGTTATTTCCTCCCCAGGAACTTCTTTCCTGTGAGGGTGGCAGAGCCCTGGAAGAGGCTGCCCAGGGAGGTGGTGGAGTCTCCTTCTCTGGAGACATTCAAAACCTGCCTGGACACATTCCTGTGGGATCTTCTTTGGGTGACCCTTCTCTGGCTTGGGTCAGAGGACTTGAGCCAGGGACTTGGGTCTTTTCAGTCTGGAGAAGAGAAGGCTGAGGGGGATCTGATCAATGTCTATAAATACTGAAAGGGTGGGTGTCAGGAGGATGGGGCCAGGCTTTTTTCAGTGGTGCCCAGTGATGGGATAAGAGGGAAAGAGCACAAACTGGAACATAAGAAGTTCCACCTCAACATGAGGAGGAACTTCTTTGCTGTGAGGGTGGCAGAGCCCTGGAAGAGGCTGCCCAGGAAGGTGGTGGACTCTCCATCTCTGGAGACATTCAAGCCCACCTGGACATGATCCTGTGGGACCTGCTCTAGGAGGACCTGTTTTGGCAGGGTGTTGGACTGGATGATCTCCAGAGATTCCTTCCAACCCCACATCATTCTGTGATTCTGTGACTGCCAGAGCTTTTCAAAAAGTTGCAATGTAAAAAAAGAGCTCGGGCTCTCTGGGAGGAGGACAGCACTCTTTGCTGCGTAGAGGTCAGGCTGCATGTGCCCATGTCTTCCCCAAACTCTCCATCCCCAGACTTCAGAGCTGGGTGGCTGCTCGTGCCCATAACACACAGGTCTCCAGTTGCCCGTTGACACCCAGCCCAAGGGTGGCCGAGCTACACAAAAGCAGTGTAGATGGAAGGTCCCTCCGTGTGCAGGTCCTGGAACTGGCAGGGCAGCAGGGTGCACAGAGAGTTAAAGCCCTGCCTCCCCAGGAGCAGCAAGTGCAGCTTTCTTGGGTGAAAATCTTGGGCCTTAGAAAAATCTCAGGCCAAAAAAACCCCAAAAGCCAGGTGAGACACAAATCGTGGCCTACAGCACGGAAGGAGATCAGCCCACCATGTGGAGGTGGCTGGGGAGCAGGGAACAGCAAATGGACCTTTCCTGGGCCACACATCAAGGGTGCTTTTCCATGGTTATTAAAAGGACCCTTCCTGGGCCATTCATCAAGGGTGCTTTTCCATGGTTATTAAAAATTACTTATCTTTCTCAACAGTTCCTAGATATAAAAGTCACACTGACAAATATTTGCAGGCCTTGCCCGGCCTCGGCTGCATCATGACCCACAGCTCTTCACGAGGCAGCGCAGCTCCATCACGGACACAAGGGAGGAGCCAAATCACCTAATTTACTAATTGGGAAATTACTTATCTTTGTCAACAGTTCCTAGATATAAAAGTCACACTGACAGATATTTGCAGGCCTTGCCCGGCCTCGGCTGCATCATGACCCACAGCTCTTCACGAGGCAGCGCAGCTCCATCACGGACACAAGGGAGGAGCCAAATCACCTAATTTACTAATTGGGCTTGGCTCTTCCGACCAAGAAAAGCCCTTCCTGTTTACATTGAGACACATCAGACAGCGATGCCATCGGTGACACCGACGCTCCAGGCTGCTGGAGCATCACCTTCAGGCCCTGGGGGGGCATCTTCAGCCCTAACGCTGCGGTGACGGGGGGATTCACACACCCACCCTCCCCCTCCCGTGGGGTTCCCCATACACAGTTTGCCCACTGCTGGAGAAAAGGTGACCCAAGTGGGCTGTAAACTCCCCAGGGCAACAGATATGTCTTGTTTCTTCATAGACAATGAGCCCCACAGAACCATTAAAAACAACGATTTTTGCCTCTCTTTTGGCTTAAAATAGGAAGAAAACTCTGATAAAGGGCCCTTTGCCTCTCACAGCGTCCAGGGCACAAACCCTGTCAGAGCCACAGCCTTCTGTGGTGCAAGGGCAGAACTTCAGAGGTTGTTCTTCCTGAGCCGCCTGGCCCACAGTACCTTAAATTACTGCTGGGAGTGCTCTTCCAGCATAATTCCAGCATTAATTAATGCAGTTTGGTCTTCCCTACCTCCAGGATAAATTTGCCTTTACAAAATATGTTGACTCACCCCTTGGCTTCTGCTGCCTCACACCCCAGCCCCCCTCTCCTGTGTCCAGAATAAACCACATTTTAACTGGGTGCATGTAACAGAGCAGAAATCTGCAGGAAAAGTGACTTCAAAGATTCCTGCAGAATTTCAATGGCAATTTTAGGCAAAAAAAAATTGTTCTGAAAATGAGGAATAAACCAAGACAGGAATTTCCAGCTCCAACAAAAAGCACAGCAGGATTTCCAAACTGTGCCTCGGTTTTCCAGCTTCCTAATTTCTGGTAAGGAAATCACAGTTTGGGGGCTAACTCAGAGGGACCTGTCACCCACCCAGTCACTGATGTTCACCCAGAGGCATGGCAGGATTCGGGCAGCGATGCCACGATGCTGCTGGCCACACTGGGCTCCTGCCCAGCAGGTCACGTCTGCCACGGGATAGAGATGAGGAATCATCCCTTCCATGTAGAATCACAGGATGGGATCAAGGCAGTGAGATGTGGGGTCACAGGGGACCAGGAAAAGCAAGGATGCGGGTGGGATGCCTGCATCTCCATGGCTCCTGGCTCGGCTTCCCGGGCCAAAAGGAAGCTTCCCAGGAGAGAGTGTGGAGGCTGGGAAAGTTCATCAGTGATTAATGGCTGGGTTATGGCCCACGGTCCCTCCCGTGAGACAGTGGGTGCCCTG